TTTAAATTTAAATTATTGATTTTCTTAAATTTTGATCAATAACGATCTCTTTTGAATGAGAGTTTTTTTACCAAAAGAACAGCTAAGCAATCTACTGTTCTTGATACAAAGAACATTGCATTTTTATTAGATTAAAATGAATGAAATTAAAAGTAAATAAAAAAGTACCACTTTATTCATTTGCAACAAAAAGGAATGAAAGTTGTAGAAAAGATGAATTCTAAATTATCTTATCTAGTGAGAATTTTTAAAGCTAAATTAAAAAATTAACACCAACTCCTTGAATTTTGTTTAGGAATTTGATGTAATGGATATACATACACCTGCCCCCCCCCACTCACAGTAATATGATTGGCTGGTGTCAGCCATAAATACAGACGACGCCTATTGCCTAAGCGTATTGCCTACCACTACGACGAGAACCAGTCCATTACAGTTACCTGATAGATTGTCCTACCCGGTTACAGTAGTCAAGAACCACTTTGCTACTTCGAACAAATATATCTCTTTCCGGGACATATCAGAATTCAAGGAAATTGAAAACTTTGATTTAAAATCAAGTTGAAATTAGTTCTGTCACCCGTTATGAGACATCTGTCCTGCAAGGCAGTGCGGGTTGGACAATCTCCTCAAAGACGAAGAAGAATCATGAAGCAGCATAAATATGACTCTGCAGAAGGATGCAGAAGATACCATGAACCGAATTTGGGAGCAACGACGAAGTTTTAGAGAAAAATGAAACAAAAAAGGTACTCATACATAACATCGGGAAGAAACAGTTGAAATTGCTATGGTGCATAATGAGGAAAGGAGGATTGGAAAATCTGATACACACAGGATGGATTGAGGACAAGAGGGGCAGAGGAAACAAAGCATGACACACATAATGAACATAAGACGGAACAGTGTTTAGGAGAAATAACAAAAAACAATATCTGTTAAGAGCTTCAAAGGACGGGCATTAAGTCATTTTTCTCTACCACTGTTCAACCGGTGGCTGCGTATTACGTTATTTTTCTCGGTAAAGCGGCTATCAGGACAAAGGGTTAATCTGCTTGAGCGTGCATTGCGGTCTTGCTTAATTTAAAATTTCGAAAATATTTTTGGTACATTTTGATTTGATTAAAAAACAGCTGCGTTTGCTTTTTAAACAAGATCAATAAAACGGTCTCCCCCAACTTCCGAGAATTGTATTTGGGGCCTTCCTATAGGTTATTTAAGGGAGGCCTTGGATTTGATTTTTCGGGTCGACGAACATCCGCTGCAGGAATCCAGGTCACCACGGTCTAGAAATAAACCAAGGCAGAAGAAATTTGACAACTAGCAGACGAGAATTAAAAGGAAAGAAAAGGTTGCTTCCATATCAAAGAAAAGTCTTCGATTGGTGTGCTTGACCAATTCTTGGCTGTTCACAGTAACTTAGCTTTGAAAATTGTACCAAATTATTCTTTGAAAACTATTCCGAGAAGTATTTCTTTCTTTCTTCACGTAATGTAGTTTTCTTTTCTGAGGACCTTCCAAGCAATCATAATTTTATAATTGTAAAAAAGTATATTTTATTTTCATTGATAATTTACATACATGTTACCGCCCACCATTTGGCACACAAATCACATAATGTCTGCCATTCATATTTTATGGGATAAAAATAATATTTTCGTATGTTTTTAAACTCAACTCGTGTCATCTGTCTTTGTTTTGTACCCAGGCCATTAACTTATTGTTACCCCAAACATATGTTTGAATTATTTTTTTCGTAGGGTGTTTTTTTTTTATTACTAAAACAATCCTATACTTTTAGGGATGTCGCAAGCGCCAGACAATTACCATAGTGATTTTCCAAGCGTAGCTTGGATGTGGCACAAGGCCGAAAGTAAGGGGCACCCAGTGAGGATCGAACTCACTACTCATTCGTAATTGTTCTAGCGAGACAAACTCGCTAACCATTACACCACCTCGAGGTGCCCCCAGGTAATTGCCATAGCCCTTTCCCAATAGAAAGGCATTATGTCGGAGAACGGGACACTGTACTTTTAAGGATTTTTTATTTGGTAAAAAAAAAACCTACGAAAAAAAATAACTCAACCAAACGTTTGTGGTAACATTTAATTTATAAGGACACACTAAAAAGACAGACGACATGAGCCGAGTTTTAAAAAGCAGACGATAAATTTATTCTTAATGCACAAAAATGAAAGAATTACACAAATTAAGCACTTTGTCTGCCAAATAATCGCCAATAACATATGTAAAAATAATCAATACAAATGAAACATGCTTCCTTTACAATAAATGATGCATACGGTCATCAGAAAGGGTAAACAACATAAAATAAAATGAAGAAAATACTTGTCTGAATAGATTTCAAAGAATAGGCACAATTCTCGAAGCAATCTCTGTGGTAAAAGCGAAAAACAGAACAATTACTCAAGCTAAAGAATTTTCTTTGATGTGAGAGTGATTTTGATGTTCCTTTCAATTCTCGTCTGTTTGTCATCAAATTTCTTCTGTGATATTTTTCTTCCTGGACTGGAGCAACCTGGGTTTATACAGCAGCGGTCTCCGCTAAATGAAATCCAAGGGCCCCTTACAACAGGTAGGCTCCGAAATCACTTCTCAGAATTTGGAGGGAACCTTTAGATTGGTTTCGAATGAAAAACAAACGCAGCTCTTTTCCCACAAATCGAAATATACTAAAAACATTTTTGAAATTCGAAAGTTTAACCAAGAACCCAACGCAACGTCTGTTTTATCTCAGAAAAAACAGACATTACATGCTCAAGCAGCTTAAATTTCTTATAAGTGAAGCCTAAGCCTGAAGATTTGTGAAGCTGCTTTTGCGTAGAATTTATGTTGATATATATTGTATTAAAAATATAATTATGGCACAAGTCCGAAAAGGGGGAAAGGGGTTGTGGCTGATCTTCACTATCTATCTTATACCTAGCTAATCCGATTCACGACCCATTCATTCGTTACAATTTGCGCATTCACCACAAAAACTCGTCCGTCACCAATCAATCCTCCATACACCATAGTACCGCATCCTCTCAGGTGGTCCTACAAAACGCGCCACAAGATTTAAAAATATATTTCATAGACAAAAATCTAATATTTGACAATGAGAGGGGAGGGGATGAATCCCAAAACAAACTAAATACCAACACAAAGGAAACTAAAACATAACTGATGTTTGTAGGACCCGTCCAACCCTCCAAAAAGAGAGGCCGCTGTCTTCTACCCATTGGGCAAAATCAAGAGGCTCTCTCGCTAAGGGAGAGGGAAAGAAGAAAATATATACGGACATGGGAAATATATAAAGCTGATCCAGTGGAGATGAAAGGGGGCCAAAACAAATTGGGGAGGTTGGGAATCACAACTTGGATCATAACCAAAGATATAGTCGGGAGCAGGCCAGGAATAACACTTACTCACATTAACTAGGTACACAAAAGTTTGTCTAGCCTAACCAGGAGAGGGCTCCACCCGATATGATATAGGTTGACCTAAAAGAGAAAATCAATGCTAACCCCGTTCAAATGAACCAAGCTCGCCCCAGTCACCCAACTTTCGCTAAAGGCTGTCGAATGCAAGAATTTTTTTTTTCTTGAGCAATTATTTATTGAAAAACGTTTGAACAAAGTAAATATGAACAAAATGTTTTTTTTTTTTTTTTGCTATCCTCTGCTAACCACAAAGATGGAGAAAACATTACCTCGAACCATCGCCAGTGAGACACGCTGCAAGAGCCATTCCGTTTCGCGAGGCTCGTCCCTTAATCGAGACGCAATCGCGCCAATCCTTCGAAGGAACGCCATCGAACGAGGGCCAATAAGCCATGAAGTCTCCACTGCTACAGGAGTAAAAAAAATGTGTCAGTAAAAGAAGAATATTTAACTTTTTTTTTTTTTTTATCTCTGCATCCCGGTCGACGGACCCCGTCTCAACCGCGGACCTGATCAAATTACCGGTCGAAAATGTATCCGCACAGGTCGCATCCCAAATCAACGACTTCCCAACTTTAAAAGGGAAAATGGTAATGCCATCCGGCCGCTTTCCATCACCGCGGTCGAGTCATATGGGTTCGATTTGGGAAGGGAATTTATGTTAGAACTACTGAGAGCGTAATCTTGTCGGTTATACGTCATTGTGAATACGTCATAATAGCCTTGCGAATATTATTATTATGCAGCTGAGGTGCAAAAATATGCTGTTGTTATTTTGAAAAATCGCTGATACGCTTTAAGTGAGCGTTTAGTGCAAGCGTGATTTCGATGCAAAAGACTTTTGTTTCGTTGCTGATTCGAGAGCAAAAAAAAAAAAAAAAAATGAAACATCCCTTTTGATCTGCTTGGTAGTCCTTGGAACTCAAACGAAAGAAATTATATTTGAGGCTATGGAAATCAAGCCCTAGTCGCGAAAATAAATACAGCCTCTTCCCGTCAGCCAATATTAGATATCAAGAAATACTGCTGTCATATAGATAAGCGCTCTCTGATACCATATATACGCACAAGCATATATACACATATACAACACGCACACATACAAATACACACAGATAGATAGATAGATTAACTTCAATCATGAGCTTCCAAAAACAAACTGTGATTCCTGAAGATATTTTCTCTCCTGCCACTTCGCCTCGAACCCAGCAACGCCGAATGTCGTACCGATTCTGGCAATGGGTTAACTGTGCCGGCGAGAAAGAAACGGATGATCTTAGAACTAATACTAGTGATATGGTGCTTCCTGTATATTCAACAGATTCTCAAACGGATGAAATCCTACACAATGGTTCAGACTCTAAGATCAATGAGACTGTCGTTGCTTCGCAGAAATTCGAGGAAGATTCTCCAAAGGACATTCTACCTACACGCTCCCAGGACCCAAAACGTCTGAACAACGACGAATGCGTTATCGACGTAAACGATTCCGATTCGCGCATCTTAAAACTGTTAGATGTGGATGATAGTACCGTTTCTGATTCCTCTTCTCAAATGCAAAACGGCGAAGAAGCTCGGTTGGAGATTGACAGCAAAGAAGGCGAGTTAAGTAGAGAAAGCAGCGAAGAGGACTGTTGCAGAATCTGCCATAACAGCCAACAGTACGCGAACGATTTGGTTTCGCCTTGTAACTGTTCGGGTTCATTGGGTAAAATGCATATATCATGTCTGAGCCAATGGCTGCAACTGTCGAAACGGCAAAAATGTGAACTGTGCGGTTACAAGTACACATTTGCAAGAGAATCGTTGAAATTCATTGATTTTCTACGTGACCCTGAGTTAAGACGAACTCACCGACAGCTTTTGTGGGATCTACTCAGTTTTGCCCTGATCACACCCATCTCTGTCGTCAGTATTATTTTGATTTTATTAGCTGGACAACAGCTAAAATGGCATCTGTCCTGGGATGTGATTGGTTTGGTTACAGTCGGCTTTGCGCAGCTTGTCGCCTATACGATATGGTTTCGAATAGCGTTTCAGTACCACAAACGATTGTGGGAAACGTGGAAGAACAAGAATCAGGTAATGAAGCTGGTCATCAAACATAGACAGGCGCCAAAGAGGCAGAGTTTTAATGTTATAGGATGCATTAGCAAAAGGAAAAATAGGATAAGAGGTGGTCGAAGGAGTACAAACAGAGCAAACGAAAATCTACAATCACTTCGATTTTTCAATCGGTACACCTTAAACCGAACAACTTTTCGACGCGTGCATTAAATTCTTGAAAAATTGATTTCGTTTATATATACATACATATATATATATATATATCACATCAAATATATATTATGAAGCGTAGATTCCGATCTACAATAAACACTTTCAAAACAAAGATTTATTAATTAATTATTCTCTTTTATTATTCAAATAAAGCAATATTATATAGATATAACTAAATTAGTTTTATTCATGTATTTAAATTCGAAATTCATAAGACTCTATATTTCTGAGATGAGGCATTGTAATTATTTACACTATTTACATTGTTCAGACTGTTGTCCTCATTTTTATTGCCATATTCATTCCTTCAATATCTGTTTATATTTCTGAGATGAGGCATTGTAACTATTTACACTATTTAATTGTTCCGACTGTTGTCCTCATCTATTTTAAGAATGTCACAGAACAGCGTAGTAAAGCGACTTCCCAAATATTAATTCTTTTGATTATATTTCTATCATTCAGTTTTGTTTCAATCTTTTTTCTCATACGCCTGAAATTCCTTCACTTCTTTGGCCGGTTGAATACCAAGATACTCTTTCTCTCTCTCTCTCTCTCTCAAGTTCTCTCCCTTTTTTTTAAATATCCCATGATTTCTCCATCCATGAATTGCATTCCTTCTAAATCTTGATGAATATTAGCAGATTTAAAGCATTATTAATCTGATTTGAAACAACTACAGTGTAACCCGGATATAAGAGAGTTGTCGGGACCGGAGAAGAAGTATCTTATATCCGGGTTTCTCTTATATCCGGGTTTGGTCTATTTTGTTTAGGTAAGTATGGCTCTAATTTGGAACAAGAGAAAATCTCTCTTATATCAGAGTTTCTCTTATATCCGGGTCTCTTATATCCGGGTTACACTGTATTATTTACTTTAACCCTTTGATACCTGCATTCTTGAACAATTTTAACCCTTGTGCCAGAGTCCTGAGTCAAAATTCACAAATAATTGGTATGTAATGTTTAACGGTAGATATAAAAATAGTTACAAAAAATATAAGCATTATATTTAGCAGGGAGAGAGTATGATTGCATGTCTTCATTTTGTCGCCAGAATTCTGCACGCTTCATGGTAAAAACAAACTTTTTAATCCAAAACACAATGAAAAGGCGCGGACATGCTGGGATAACGTTCGATGGCATCAGAATATTACGGATTTTCTGATTGGCTCTTCAAAATAAGACGACCAATAGCAAAACACGGAGCAACTGTTTACCCACCGTTGAACCGGTGGCTGGGCATTATGTCATTTGTCTTTACCACCGGTAAATTGGAGGTCAGGACTCAAATGGTTAAGTTTAAAATGTCGAAAAAATGAATTTTTAAACCAGACAGTAGCTGTTGATTTAAGTCAAGGCGTTCGCATATTTGATAGCTTGCTGACAGATTGATATTTATTTAATGTTCTATGGGAATTTTAAGCTTTTAAAAATAGGTAATTGAATTAACGTGAACGCTTTCTATATATAAATTATAAGTACTCAGTAATCTTAAAAATGTAAGATAATATTCTTTGTGATCTAATGTTTTAATGAATTTGAACTATTTTTGGTTGTAAATTTATTATTATTTCTTATTCCCCGATAATGTCGTACATGGTCGACAGCATAATAGAAAATAGACATGTTTATACATTAAAAAAAAAAAGTTCAAAATCCTTTTAAAAACATTGGTGTTAGATGATTTGTACAAAACTTTTCAATTTATGATTAGTAAATATAGTCCAACAATATATTAACAATATAACGTAACCGGTCCAGAAATGTAAAAGATTTAAACACAGAAATTTAAAAGATTTAAAACTTTATAAAATATTCTAATTATTAAAAAAAAAAAAATATATAATACATGTAAAAAAGCATTATTTTTCGAAAAAAAAAATTCTTAAGGCAATAATATCCATTCATAAGAACAAGTAAAGGCTTTTCTGATTAAATAATGTTTTAATTTGATTGCAAATTTTCAGTCAATGACTAACTGTTGCTTGCGGAAAAAACCCCCCCAAAAAACACTAATGAACTACATTCTCCAAGGAGTCCTGCTTTTAACTAATATAAGTAAAAAGTGGAACAAAATTTTTTTCACGAAATTTCATTAAAGTGGCGTAACAGATGTAAAAAAAAATTCTAGCAAGATTTTCTAAAGAAAACAAATTCAAAACTAATTTCATTCAATTGTGAAAAAGTGCTGAAAGTGTCATTAAAATGCAATAATTATTTGATATTTGCAAGAATTTCCAAATCAATGTATTTCTTACCAGAAAAAAGGCGATAAATTTTCTAAAACTGCCTTTGCTTCCCCCGCTGACGCAAGAAAAACAAGATTTCTAACCAAAACTAAGAACTTGCTAGAAAAGATTAAAAAGAATTAATAACATAATCAAAAATGCTGTGATTGTCCCTCTTAATAGTAATATAAAGATTTTGATTGGTAAAACTTAGCTTTTATCAAGTTTCATCATGATATGCACCTTTTTCGGTAAATTCGTGAACATATCCAAATTAAATGTAATGTTAATCGCAATTTTGTATATATCTGTCCTTTCTCCACAATAAATTTTATCATTCTCTTTTCACTCCCTTGCGTCTTAGTGACATTATCGCCTTGATTGGAATAATATGACTACTTCTAATTCCCCACCAGAAACATCGACCATTCATTTAAATTTCATTTATTCGCTTCTAAAACTGTTTTTATTTTTCTTTGGCTTTCGATAATGTATAAAATGTACGATGTAGCCTTTCGTGACTGTTAATCAGGCTTAGTCTTTTTCTCAGCGTAACTCCCAGACGGTGTTTTTGTGTTTTTGTTTTTTGTTTTTATTCAGATTTTAACAGTAGAATATATCTGACACGAAGTTATCCACTGTTAATTCTCCTTGCTTCTTTATCAGACATTAATTCCAAATGTATTTTCACGCCTGGTACAATCATGTAAAATGTCAGACGAACATATTTATCATGGTTAAGTCTCTAATTTCGTTTTCCTTTTTCATTTTTTCTTTTTTTTTTTCGGGGGGGGGGGCTTGATGAAATGTTGGTCTGCACTGGTAAACCGAAATGAGTGCGATACAATCGCGTCTAAAAGACGATCTTCTCTCTCACTCTACACTTTGTGAAATCAGCCTTTTCTGTTATGTCTTTAAAATGCCTCATCTTTCTTCTAAAACTCACTAAATTTGTTTTTTTTATTTTGTTATTGTTGCTTTTATTGGAACACTTCGGTCGTTTTACATTCTCCGACCGCAAAGGAAGCAGAATGGATCAGAAATAATTAACTTTTGATTTCGAAGAGACGTCAACTCTCATCCCCTTAATCTAAGGAGCTCATCTGGCACGTACTACGCTTTACCAAATAGGCAAAGAAGCCAACGTGTTGACGAAGTTCAAATCAAATCATTGAACGCATTTCCTTTCGATTTCTTATTTTCTGTTTTCATTTTTTTCTTTAATCTTTGTTTACCGCTCCGTTCATTCTTTACAACGTTTCTTTCTTTCTTTCTTTCTTTCTTTCTTTCTTTATTTATTTATTTATTTATTTATTTATTTACTACGCTTCGATCTTTTTTTATTATTTACTACGGTTCTTTATATCCTGCTTACTTTCTTTTTTCGTTCATTCTTCACTATGTTTCTTTCCATTCTGCTTTCTTTCTCTCTTTCTTTTTTTTCTTTCTTTCTTTTTTTTTCTGTACTACGTTTCTACCTTTTTTTTTCTTTATACGTTTCGTTACATCCTGCTTTCTTTTTTCCTTCATTAATTCTTTTTCGTTTGTTTTCTTTCTTTTTCTTTCTTTCTTTACTACTTTTTACATTCTTCTTTCTTTCTTTCTTTCTTTCTTTCTTTCTTTCTTTCTTTCTTTCTTTCGTGTATTACTACGGTTTATTTCCATTGTGCTTTCTTTCTTTTTTCCTTCTCTTATTACTCTTTCCTTTCTATTCTGTTTTCATTCCTTCCTTCTTCATTAATTCATCTTATTACTACGTTCCTTTCATTCGGCTTTGTTCGTTTGTTTCTCTCCTGTTTTTTTTCCTGTTTTTTTTCCTGCTTTTTTTCTTTCTTTCTTTCTTTCTTTCTTTCTTTCTTTCTTTCTTTCTTTCTTTCTTTCCCACTTTGACACCGAGCCCTGATGCTACCCAACTCTTGTAGCTCATGAACTGAGATGTGGTACTGAAATATTTACTATAGTCTATCTGAATTATCCATGTACATGTTAGCACCTCCAATGAGTTAAGATTAGAAGTCATGTAACATCAGGACATTTATTATTA